TTGTCTGTGGTGTTCTGGTATAGTTAACACAAAACATGTGAACTGAATGGATAATCCTCTGCCAAAATGGATCACTAACCATTCAAGAGAGAGGATAAGAAAATGCCAGTGGCTGGTGAGGAAATACTGAAAGGTGTCCACAGAGCTACAGGCTCTAGATTTGGAGACCAGAGCTCAGTTAACCTGTCAACAACAGCTGGGGCAGCCTGAAGGCAGCAAAGACAGAGATGTGTAGCAGCAGAGAGAGGAAAGAACTTCAAGATACAGGAGGGAATTATTTTCATGTCCCATTTTCCAGCTACATGGAGGGCTAAAGCTGCACTTTGTCCTCTACTGTTCCTGTTTCACATGATACATGTGGTCCAGATCAGCACATGAGTGGTACATGGTAAATGGCAGCAGTAAAGGTTTTCTTTCCTTCCATAGATCTCCTAGAGAAAAGTCACCGTGGGGACTCTTCCCTCCAAACATGCTGGATGACAAATGCTTTGTCATCTAGATAGCCAGATTTAGAGGTTATAGACTCTAAGCTGAAAGAGAGGGACAGGAAAACTACCAAACCAAACAAATTATCAGCAGCTGATGAGGTTTCAAGTCTTTCTATTGTACATATTTCTATTTCTCATTGTAAAAATAGCAGAACTGTGTTTTGGAGACTTCCTGACTCGAGTGCAGGTTGGTAATAAGGCAATATATATACTAACTTGGCTAACATAATCACAGTACTGATAATCCACTTTTGTGAGAGTATTTAAAGATGCAGACTAAGCAAAATCCCAAGGAACCAGACCCCATTGATGTTTCTTTCACAGAATCAGTTGTGTATTACTGTCCTCACTTTCTAAATGGGACACTGAGACACAGCAGCAAATGCTGGTGGGAATGACACACAGCTCAAACCACCAGCCTGTGCCTCTTATTGATATCACAACATTACATATAATGAGCACATTTAGGAGACAGTTTAGCCTTTAGCATTTCCTGGTGGTTGTGAAAAAGCATTTGAAGAGTCACTATAAGAAAGAGCTTAACCAAAAAATAAAAAAACCCTAAAACTTCTGTAGCAAGTTTCAGAGCCGCTACAGAATCTCTTGGAAAAAATGTGTTTCCTTAAGACATTGTGTACTCAGCCTTTTGTCCCCATGATTACATAGACTCTCCTGCCCCTTCTCCCCCTGCAGTCCCTGTTTGTGCATTCCCAGGGGCACACTCTGGCCATGGGCTGAATGGCACAGGCACGTGTGTGCTGCTCGGAGTGCTGCTCAGCCTGGCAAACACTTGTGCACAGCTCTGGGGCCAAGGGAGGGGATTGAAAGGCTTTTCTTCTCTCTGCACAAAGGTCACTGCTTCCCCCTCTGTGCAGTTCAGTCCCTGCTGCACTGCTGGAGCTTTTGCCTTGGGGATATGTTTGTAGGACAGTCCTGCAGCTAAGCAAGTCTAGGAGTGCATATCCCTGTCCCACCAGTTTTGTTCTGCTGGTGGAACTGTCTCTCTCCCTCCTAGGCCAGGTCTCTGTGTTCAGGTTGAATGCTGACAAAAATAAAGAGCATTTCCTTATTGTTATTGGTTTTCCCCATTTAAAGTGCCTTCTAGGCACTCCCTCTCAGGCTGTTATCCTGTGGAAGGAGACAGACTGAGATTTTTGCCTCCTGTGCACTTTACTCATTGGATTAAGGATAAAATTGAAGCTTTCCTGAAAGACTGGGCAGCCTTAAAAATGAATGAGTACATGGGATTAAAGACCCATGAGATAATTTTTTTTTCCTAATCCTGTTTAGAAGTAACTATTGAAATAAATGGATTTACTGGTGGAGATGAAAGGCAAACTTGAATCTAGAAGGTCTCACTGTACATTTACCTTTTGAGTTGTTGAACTCTGGATCAGGTAATTAAATTCAAGAGTCAGAGAAGAGATGAAAGTAGGTTGTAGGGGATATCCTGCTTTAAAAAAGTTAAAGTTCCAGGAGTGGTTATAATTCCTGTATCACCTGGATGAACTTGGCCATGGCCTTGTGTCTCCTGTTTCCTCATGTGCTGGTGTTGCTTCTGCACCAAAGAGCAGTTGTGATTTTGTGTCATGAAATAATGATCCATCATGGTGCTTTTGGTTTTGGTTTGAGTTTTGGTTAATGTATTAGTAAAATAATAAAACCATATCATACATAATATAACCATACAGTGTTTACTTGGGAGAGGCAAAATCTAATCACCTGCTGAAGAGACAGCTCTGCTTTTAAGAGCAGATGGATTTGTGTCTTGCCCAAGGGCTCTCCCAATGCAGCTGTAAAAGGAGGGTGTCTTGCCCAAGGGTTCTCCCAATGCAGCTGTAAAAGGAGGGTGGTGAGTCCTGTTGCAAAGCTTAAGATCCCCTCCTTGGTGGCATCACATCAAATGATGTCTGCATCTCTTGCAGCACAAGGTGTGAAGGTAATTTGCAGCCTCCTGCATAAACATGCTTTTAATTGCACAAAATGTCCCTTCCTAAACACCAGGTGGAGGCAGATCTATGGGGATTCCTGCTCAGAAATGAAGAACTGAGGAAAGCAAGGCTGGGCCAGGATATTCCCTGGGTCACATCTGCTGCCAGCAGAACTGCTGTCCCTAAATGCCAAGGCAGCTCTGCAGTCAGGTGAGGGCTGAGCTGTCAGGTGAGCCAGGGCTCAGGGATTGCTGTGCCTGTTTGGTGGCACGTGAAGGATGCTGTGAAGTGTGGGGTGGCTCAATTAGGTTCCCCTGCACACTGACGTGCTGGGCACGGGTACGAGGAAGTGTTCCGGTCCGTCAAACGGAAAATGACAAAATCATTTGTAATCTCTCATTACCAATGCCCGTGGGGTTTCTGGCTGTGCCTCCCTGGTGGCATTATTCATCAGCTGATAGCTTCCTGCTCTTGCCAGCTCCACTTGAAAAACGAAGCACACGACGAACGCGTTTAGGAGTTAACTGAAATCTTTTACTTCGAGCTCTGTAGGAAGGAAAATTAGGTCAGTTCTGAAATATGCCTACTAATGACTAAGTAGCCTTTACTAGTTATTTGCACCTGATTGCAACGTACCACAAGTGGGTGTATGTGCTTTTACCCTTAGATTCCCTTTCCCATCCCACTGTGGGGAAGTGAAGTGTGTGGTGCTTGGTTGCCAGCTGGGGTTAAACCATGGTCCAAAGTTCATTCTTCCTAGATAGGAAGTGGCTTCTCCTTGTAAGTCATCTGCCTGAAAATGTTACAGAAGGCACCTAACTGCATGCTCATTTTTTCCCTTTGTTATTTAGAAGCTGAGGGTGACTCTATTTAACTCTTAGGTATGCAAAAAGAAAGGTACTAATAGAAGTAAAATATCCCTATCTGCTAGCCCTTGATAGGATGCTCCCTACCTGCAGTGCAGGCTCTGTCTTTCTTGCACACATCTGAAGTTTGTTGGGGGTAAAAAGCTGTTCACTGGCTGCTCATGGGATTCACAGCACATCAACTCCATTTCATCTTGGCTGCCACACAGCTGAGTGCAAACATTGGGTGACCTTCCTCGTGATCTCCTCCAAACCTGAGCCTGTGCCACAAAGCTGTTTTCTTCTTGGTGGTGTTCTCAACACAGCCTCTGTATTCTTGGCTTTCTGGCAAGGCCTGAACCCCCTGTGAAAGGCAGGGACCCTCAGTCTGCTGGTTGGGGTGCATTGTAGTGTTCCTCATTTTAACTGCCTGAAGCCTAAATCTGTAATCCAGGTTTTTTTCCAGTCATGACTGCTTTTCTCCTTGATTTATTCCTTTCATATGAAAATATTTAGTACATTAAATAAGTACTTGACCATCTTATTTTTTATTTTTTTTTGTGCACATGATGCATAATGAGAAGGTTTCTCCAAAGTTTTTTGCAAGTGGATTCCCATGTGGTGCCTGTTAGTCACAGCTAATTACAGAGGTTGGTGAATGAGGAATATATTGAAGCTCAGGTTCCCCTCCTCCTCCTTCTACACTGCTTCAGAAGAAAATAAAATAAAAAAAAAACCCTGCAGACAGATCCAGGTTTTTCTGTGGCTATAGTCTCCAAAGAGCTCCAGAGAAATCACAGATGTGGTTTCATGTTTCAGGTTTAACTATGGTGTAATAACTACAGTCTTATCTGCAGGAGAAATGCAAGTGGGGAAAGAATCATTAATTGACAGTGAAAAGTTCAACCCATGCTCAGTGTGTTTGTTTTTTTAAGCAGCTGAATGTTTAGCCAAACGATATTTTAACTTCTAACTACAGCCTTGAAGGTTACAATAATCTGGAGATGTTAAAACCCAGCAGAGTTATAGGGAAGGACATTTAGATACATGTTTCAGAAAGGTCAATCCTAGGAAAGCAGGAAATCTTGTGATTTAGTTCAGGCTGAAGCACAACCTTCAGCTTTATTTCAGCTGCACACAAAGCTCCTGTGAGGTGCTCTGGCCTGACTCTGCAGCACAGAACATTTTCAGGTGTGCAGTGGGTGCAGAGGGAGGTGATGGCTCTGCACATCAGGGACCCAACGCTCACAGATATGTTCGTTTCACGTCTAATTTTCCAATCTTTTGTTGGTGTTCATTCAGGAAGTCCTACTAGCTTGAATGAGTTCCTGTGTGTGTGCATGGTCTAAGTGCTAGTTCAGTAAGACTACATGGGCTATGTCTATTCTCTGTCACTAAGGCATCAGTGACCTTCCTGCCCCTATATTAGCAGTGCCTGCTGGTTTTCCATACAGCTCATTGTCAGGAATGCAGATCAGCCATAGAACTGGATATAATCCTCATTGGTCAGATTATTGTCCAGGAAAATGAAATACTTTAATGACA